TCTTTATGTGGGCTGTTTCTCTTTAGGTCTGGATATATTTCAGATATATTTAGGCCTTGACCTAACAGAGTTTCATCCACTTCTACCTCCCAAGTGGTGGAATTAAAGGTGGGTATCACAATTTTTGGCTGCTATAGCTAACTAGTATGGCTGGCTTTTCTTTCTGCACCCTCAGGCAAACTTTAATAAATCATAAATAATATATCAACACATTTTCCCACTTCTCTATCCACATGCCTGGAATGTTCTGCAGCAGTAGCTTTAGTTACAAAATGGGGTGGCTCCTTGAATCTACAAAAGTCTATGAGAACAGACAGGGCCTGTGGAACAGCACATATGCACAGTCACTTTGTAAATAACAGCCTTGCTGCACTAAATTCTAACCTAGTGCCTGATTAATACGTGAATGTAAATCCAAGGTGTATTGCTTCCATTACTAAGAGGACTTCATCTTTGTATTTCATTGGGTCATTATTCATATTATTCACCTTATATATAGTTGGTGAGGAGAGTTGTGAAATGTGAATTAGAAGCCCTTCTTGCCTCAAAGTATCTGCCTATAACAGGTGTCTCTGATGCACAGTCATCTTGGCTTTAAGACAAAAGATGAATTGGAATGAGTTGGATCCTTCTATTATTTGCTACTTTGAGGTTTATGAGTCTGGAACATCACAGAGAATAGAGATCTTCTTGAACTAGCTGACAGTAGAAGAATTTTTAAGGTCTGACTATTCTCTAGGCAGTGGTCAATATGACATGCTTTAGAAAGTCACTGAAGGCAGATTGCAGTTGACCAAGAAGATGTAATCTTGGCTCTTGTCTTTCAACTGTTTATCCAACAGATGACTATATGAAGCTACTAAAGAAATGAACGAAATGTGTTTTTTCATAGAAGACTAGGCAGAACAAATATATCCATCATACCTTTCACACTTTCTATACATGATGTGTTTCTGTGGGAACATACAATGAAAGAGAAGAAGCTTCCAGAATCTGCACAATATCATAAAATTATAGGGTGATAAAGATTAGTTTCCCCACATCTACTGGCTCTGTTGCCTGCTTTTCACTATTGTGCTTTTCCAGGATTCATATTAAGAGAGCTGTTTTCATAGCCTATTTAATGTTTGCATATTCATTATTGAAAAATCACTTTTACATTCTGTAAATAGTTATTGGAATCTAGTTCTTTAGAAAAGGCTTTGTACATTCAGAATGTGACATATTATAGTTTTTAATACAAACTTGCTTCAAATCATAAATTTCACAAAAACTTTCAGTAGTTTTTGACATGAAGTAACCAGCTGATATTATTATGTTTGGTATTATTCTTATATTTTTCTGTGCTACTCCTATTTTTCTGAAAGGGCAATCACAATCAGAATATATTATATGAAAAACTATTTTCAATAAATATATACATATATGTAACTGTCCCCCTGCACACTGTTAAAACATTTGCTATAGGTCAATGAAACTTGGAAAATGAACACACACAACCTTAACAGATTGATTAAGTAAGCACCCATTCAGAAGTTTCTCAGAAATGTTAACTTCATTACCAAGAAGAATGCAAAAAGAAAGTTCACTGAGCCAGTCTCAGTGCTATTCATGTGCTCATGAGTAAATCTATGAAATTGTAATAATCATCATAACAACAATTTCCATGGCTTCTTGAATAAAAAGATTTACATGGTAAGTGAATTTTAATTCTGTAGGCTTTAATAGAAATTGTTTAGCTCTATGAATTCAAATTTAAAATAAAAGCTATTTCATAATGGCAAGGTGATTACTCTGAAATATGAACATTAAACCTCTAAGATGCCATCCAAGTGTTTTTTTCAAATCATCTGACATCAAAGAAGGAAATTTTAAGGATTAGCTCATTTTTTTCTCCCTCAGCAAATACAAATACCTATATACTTCACAAAATGTTACAAAAACTAAATTTTATTTTTAATAAAATTTTTACATGTAATATGTTTTGATCATATTCTTTTTCTAACTCCTCCCAGACCCTTTGCGCCTTCAGGAACATGCATCTTCACATTCATTCTCCCTTTGAAAAATAGGAAGAATCAAAAGAAAAACCCAAACTAAATAAGACAAAAACATGGCAAAACAAAACAAAGGGAAGTTTCTATAGGTTACACAACATGCTACAAAGAGTACAGATTTTAAAATGTATGTATTAATTTCCTTTGATTTCATTACAATGAATATGGAGAAATCAGAATGTTTAACCATTTTTACTGACATTTACAATCTTGTAAGCCAGAGCTAGGAATCGGAGCTACTAAAGCTCAATAGCATCAGAAAAAAATAATTTCTTTTCCATTAGGGCTCTAAGGCAATATGTATCAATAGAAGACCTCTATCATTTTAACAAGAGATTTAAATTTTATATGTGGACATGTGGCTGAAAGGTAGAAAGAAGCTAACATGATTAAGTTCTTCTATATTAACAGTCAGAAAATAAACAATAATCAGTTAAATAGATACTAGTATTTTCCTATAATTTCTTGTCTTTGTATCAAATTATTCTGATGACTTTGTAAGTATTTTAATATCATTATCATTATCCATTTACTATAAAACTGCTTTTGAAGGGGTCCTAGTCTTTTAAATATTTGTTTTTCTCATGCATCCTTTTACTTCAAAGTCTAGGATAAGTTGGAGCAGTTTATTTGTACTTCATAATTTAGCATAAAATAATGTTTACCTTATCAATTGTATAAATTTATACTGGTTGCTTTAGTTTTTATATGATGAATCATGTTAGCATGGTGATACAATTTAGCCATGATTTATTTGAAAATAATCTGAATATGTTGTGAAGGAATGTTCTATGTGCTATTGGTAGTTATTGTTTTTTCAAAGCATTTTGATAGACAATGTTAAATCAAGCCATGCAGTCTCTTGCTATGACTTCTGATATCATCTAACTTGTTCCTTTGAAGCAGAGAAACTAATGACTCTTCCCATTTCATATGTTGAATTCTATCCCTGGGAAATGTTATTTGGAAGTAGGAATTAGGGAGATCAACATCACCATGTAAAAACTAATACTTCCTTGTTTCATTGCTAGGCATGACCCTTTCATTAGCTAACTACTCTGAATATCACTGGCTCAAGTAAAGAAGGATCCAGGAACTAAACAAAGCAGGTCTCCTTGTCTCTGTCTCTTTCTGTGTAGCATTTGCAAGTGTGTGTGTGCACGTGTGCGTATGCGTGCATGCACGCATACATGTGCACATGCATAGTAGCTTATTTTTCTCCCAAGTCTCTCTCCTCCTGTGGGAAAGATGCTCTCAAAGATATCAAATAATCCTAAGCCTATCATACACCTTGCAACTTCAGAACTCAGATGAGAATAAATCTCATATGCCAAATCAAATAGAAAAGAGCAGAATACCGAACAAACGACACTGTGTCAATGAACCTCATCAAGATAGTTCAGAAAAGAAGGGAGCTTCCCTACCACCAACACCACCATCATCACTACCACCTATCATGTGGACTGCCAATTCCTCCTCAATATTCTTTCTATAATTACTTGAAGACTGTCAGAATACAGAAATACATTTCTATACTACTTCCCTCTAATTAGTAAAACCATGAATCACTCAACAGAAAGGCATAAAAAATCATGACCGACAACATTTGTAATTTAGAGGCTATTTACCAATACATAACTAAAAGCTAGATGCTATAAAGTTGGGTACCCCAAGCATATGACTAAGTACTCACAAAAGCATGGCTGGACCTTTGTTCTTAATGGAGGAAGATACAGAATCATGCTGGTAAGTAAATAAAATCTGTTTGCTTTCTTAACAAATCACCATGGAATAGAAAGACAACAACACAGGATGGCCAGGAAGTTGGACTGCATGGAATTTATTACAACCATAAGTTAGTGTCCCAAATTACTATATATTGTATGTAAAAAATATGAAAAAAATCCTAAGGATCAAGGTAATGGACTAACTCAGGCGCCCCTCAAGTGTTAGAATGGACTTTCATTTCTACTGGTTTCCATTTGAAAACAGATACTCTCATAGAGCGGGGATAAATATTCCATTTTCTTTGCATGCCAGAGAGATTCTGTCAGTGATTAGTACTAATATGTCTTGTCTTCTTATGTTTTCTCTTTCAGGCTTCTTGGATAGATTATAGTTGGTAAGTAACAGATGCTAGATTTTTGACATAAGATTTTCTAATTGTATAATCTAGGAAAAGTAAAATTTGCATTTTTTTCTGTCTTAATTTCCTTATTTGAAATCTTGAAAGATATACCCCCCACGTTAGGCGAATGTTTGAACTAAATTAATAATATATACTGTGTATAAAATATCTGGAAAGACAGGAAACACAATAGCTGTCACCATTTCCCAGAGACAGTGTTTGAATTAAAGACAATAAAACTAGTCATGTTTGTCTAAATAATTAATTGCTTGGTCATAACCCTGGAGTTGTGTTCTAACATACACTTTTAATTAAAGGTAGAGTTCAAAACTGGTTAACCATTGTTTTAAAAACTCATTAATCTTTGATGAAATTAGAAGTGTAAATACTATCACCTCTCTTAAGGACTGATGCTTTATACTTGGAGTACATCTAAATTTAAAATTTAAAGGTTGCTTTGCCTTTTTTGCTTATGGTAGAGATTTCTCTACCTTTACCTCTTATATCACATTTCTTCATTGTCCTTAGGCAAGTCCTTATTTGTAAAGGGCATGTACAATCTACTCAGACTCTTTTATCTCCAGGAACTCTTTAAATAGACACCATAACTGAGTTCAGTTGGCAGTCATCAATGAGTTTAATCTTGACTTAGATGGAGATGAATGACACAGTACTGTATGCCAAAGTCCCACAGCCCCAGGTAGAGATGAGAAATTAACGATGCGACTGTCAGTAGCATGTTTACAAAAGGGTGGCAGCGGCTGAAATTTATATGGTGAATATTTCCATTGACACAAATGTATCTCCCTCCATACCTTTAATATCCCCATCATCTTCAGATCCGCTATGTAGAACCAGAACCGAACAGTACATATCCCAAGGCTTGCAGGGAAGAACTGAGAGGTAGTAATTCTTGCACTAGTCCCTTGTTTGGAGACAGAAGAGTTGACATATAGGAAATTCCGACCACTACCTAGAACATTGAGAAAAAGTTTTGCTTTATATTTTACTGATCAATACACAATATGTTTAAACCCTGCACATATATCATCATGACCCCAAATGCTCTCCTTTGAATTTATCTCTTACAAGTTATCTCAAAATAGCAATTAATTTTTCTGAAGAAAAAGGTGTTGCTATGGTCATGTGATATGCAGGATTCATTTTACACAGAACTCAACATTGTGTTGATTTTGAGGTTGTAGTATCTTCCTCCAATTCATTCAAACCTTTCCATTTCAAGTCATAGCATTTTGTATGGTATGCATAGTAGACAGGTAGAGAGTAGGCACTGGAGAATGATTGCCATGGCACCTTATTTTCAGTTGTTGTTATGTCTACATTTGCCAAAGTAGTAAGATATAGCTACAGTTTCAGAAGAATGTGATTCTGAGAATTACTACATAATTTGTTATTTGATATATGTGTGTGTGTGGGGGTTACCTGTGTAGGCATATGTGGAAGATGCAGGTTAATAATATATTTAAGCCTCTGTCTTTCTCCACCTTAATCCTTTTTAAAATTTTGCTATTTTTATTATTTTTTAAAATTAGTAATAACCTTGCTTCACATGTCAATCCCAGCTCCCTCTTTCCCCTCCTTTCCTGACCCCCACCAATGCCCCAAGCCCACCCATCCCCCCTCTGCTCACCAGTGAGGGTAAGGCCCTTCATGGGGGATCTCCAGAGCCTGTCATATCATCTCAGGCAGGGCCTAGGCCCACCCCCATGTGTCCAGACTTTGAGAGCCTCTCTCCATGTGTAATGGGCTCCCAAAGTCTATTTCTGTGCCAGGGATAAACACTGGTCTACTACTAGAGTCCTAATAGATTACCTAGGCCTCCTCACTGACACCTGTGTCATTCAACTATGTTCATAGCAACTTTATTTGTAATAACCAGAACCTAGATGCCCCTCAACTGAAGAATGGATAGAGAAAATGTGGTACATTTACACAATGAAGTACTACTCAGTGGAAAAAAAAAACAATGGAATCTTGAAATTTGCAGGTAAATAGATGGCACTGGATGAAACCATCCTAAGTGAGGTAACCCAGTCACAAAAAGACAAACATGGTATGTACTCACTCATATATGGATTTCAGACATGGATCAGGGGATTGCCAGCCTACAATATCACCTCCAGAGAGTCTGGGAAATAGCGAGGACTTTAAGACAGACATGCATGGTACCCTCAGAGAAGGGGAATGTTACAGGATCTCCTGAGCAAAATGGGAGCATGGGGGGAGTGGAGAGGGATCTGGGAGAAAAAGAAGGGGAGATGAGGAGGGGAGAGGAGGACATGAAAGAGCAGGAAGGTTGAGTCAGAGGAAGAATAGAGGACAGCAAGATAAGAGGTATCATAATAGAGGGACCCATTATAGGTTTAAAGAGAAATCTTGCACTAGGGAGATTTCCAAAGCTCTACAAGGATGACACCAACTGGCAATCTAAGCAATAGTGGAGAGGTTACCTTAAATACCCTCCCTCTAATGAAATTGATGACTACCTTATATGCCATCCTACAGCCCTCACCCAGTGGCTGATGGAAGCAGAGGCAGACACCCACAGCTAAACACTGAACTGAAGTCCTGGAATCCACTTGCAGAGAGGGAGGAGTGATGAACATTGGGGTCAAGACGGGGCTGGTGAAACCCACAGAAACAGCTGACCTGAACAAGGGGTAGCTCAGGGACCCCAGACTGATGGCTGAGAGGCCAGCATAGGACTGATCTCTCCACCTTACTCTTGACACAAGGCTTTTCACTGGATTTGGACTTTGTATGTCCAACAAGCATCAGGGATCTGCATGTCTCTGTGACCAATAAATTACAGACAGATGCTACCAGTCTGGTTTTTAAGTGATTTCTTGGGATCTGAACTGAGGTCCTAGTGCTTACACAACAATGTCTTTACTCACTGAGTCCTAAGGAGGACACTAAGAGAGAGATACATGGGTCCCCGGAGAAGGGGAAAGGGACAAGATCTCCTGAGAAATTTGGAAGCACAGGGGGTGGGGGGAAGGAGGTAGGAGAAAGAGAGGTGAGAAGAGGGGTAGACGAACATGAGGGATCAGGAAGGTCCAGTTTGGGGAAAAGCAGAGAAGGAGAGCAAGAAAAGAGATACTGTAATATAGGGAGCCTTATGGGCTTAAAGAGAAATCTGGCACTAGGGAAATCTCCTGGGATCCACAAGAATGACCCCAACTAAGAATCTAAGAGCTACCTTAAATGCCCTTCCCCTATAATGATATTGATGACTACCTTAAATGCCATCATAAAGCCTTCACCTAGTAACTGATGGAAGCAAAAGCAGAGATTCACAGCTAAGCACTGAGCTGAACTCCTGGAATCCAGTTGTAGAAAGAGAGGAGTAATGAGAAAAGGGGTCAAGACCATGCTTGGTAAACCCATAGAAACAGCTGACTTGAGCAAGTAGAAGCTCATGGACCCCAGTCTGACATCTGTGGAACCAGCATAAGACTGAACCAGGCCCCCCTGAATGTGGATGTCAGTTGGGAGGCCTGGATAGTCTATGGAGCCTCTAGCAGTGGAACCAATATTTATCCCTAGTGCACAAATAGGCTTTGGGAGCCCATTCTCAACGGAGTGATACTCTCTCAGTCTAGAAATGTGGGGGAGGGCCTAGCTCCTGCCCCAAATGATGTGACAGACTTTGATGATTTTTTATGATTCAAATTTTCATTTCTCTGTATACTAATTGTATATCTTGTAAAAAGCACCTTTGGTGGTACTTTGAACTTGAAGAACACATTACAACTAACTCTACCCCTCCTTCAAATGCTTGCATATCATCACTTCATGGGTCATGAAGGTAAGTACTGTCAAACAGCACACTCCCCTTTAAATTGACCCAACTTCTTCACATTGTTGAACACTTGTCTTCCCTTGTGTCAGTTAAGTTTTAGGGAAATGATTTATTTTAAGGTCAGACCCTCTAAGATAAGACTATTCATGGCTGAGAGAACTCCTATTCTTCTATGTGAAAACCTGGTGGGGCTTTCAGAGTAGATGTCTCCCTAAGATGGCTCCTCTCTGAGTTTCAGCTCCTCAAGGTCTCCATATTGAGCCCACAGCTAATAGACAATCATGGCTTAGATATCCTACCCAGTTCCCACACAGGTTCCTACCCCAGATTTTCTGTCTCAACATGTGAGACCCCATGTGCATTCTTTTGTCTCTCATGGAAGGAGAGGCTATTCCTGTGCCCTCAACTCTGGTGGATCCATGGACAGTAGAAGCTTTTCAGCTGCACAACTTGTTTACTGTTAAAAGGATGGGCAGTTTTCCTCAAAACTCCTGACATGCTGGGTAAGAACTGGAAATAACCTGCATCTATTTTTAAATGTTCCTTTCTGAAAATCTTTTATGATGCTTTCCTAAGGCTTATTTTTTTAATCCATCAAGAAAAAATATCTAGCAAGGCAGGGTGGCACACACCTGCTATTTTAGCCTTGGGAGGTTGAACCAGGAAGATTATAACAATTTTGAGACCAGTCTTGGCCTCAGAGTGAGATCCAGTCTCAAAAACTCAAACCCATTAAATACTGTGAGTCACAAAACAGACAAAGACAAGGGCACAACAAATAGATGTGTATGGAGAAAAGGTAGCTAACAGTGTTTGGAAAGAGATAGGGGAGGATAGAGCCAGGGTGAGAGTAACCAGAATGCATTATGTGAAAGTGTGAAATTATCAGGGAACAAATGTGGCAAAAACAAAATTACATTCACCATCAACAAATAAAACTAAAAATATAAAACTATCACCCAAAACAAAACAACATAAGAAAGCAAAGCAAAGCAAAAAGGAAGAAGAAATACTAAGGGATATGACCCAAGAATCATCTTAGTGAAGTTTCTTTAGGATAAAAAGTAGGAGTTGAGACAAATTGGAAGTTGTCTTTTCTCCCAGAGTCCCCTGAAGAGCATCTCAGATGCTGCTAGATTAGAAAAAATAAGCAGAGTATTTTCCTTAAGTCACAAGAAAATATTTCTAGATTAAAAGATATTTTGTTTCATCATTTGGAAACAAAAGTTGAAAGTGGCTCACACAGCCAAGATACTACACCTTGACTCCACATACAACTTCGGCAAAAGACAGTGGATTGTTCTTTGAAAACATACTTTAAATCCATGTTGTCTTTAACTAAATAAGAACACAAAACCTCTCATCTTGTTGCCTTTTCATTACATGAGGTTTTCCAGGCCATTATAACCACATAATCTTGAATATGAAAAAATAACTAGTTAATATGTTTGGATAATGCAATTCTACGTTTTAAAGTTTAGCTACTAAACAGTGTAACATACAAAGTAGAAATGAATATAATTCAATCTCAAGCTTGATTTGTCATTAAGTTCTAGTCTGACATGGAAAGTCAAATATTTAGGTCCATGAGAAAAGCAGCAATTACATTCATTGATGCAAATGTAATCAAGTTTATGGGTAGGAACTGAAATCTGATTTAAAACATTGCATATTTCAGTATATTTAATCTTCACCCTATATACAGAAGGATCCATGTGTGGGGCCATCCAGTGGGTCATGGATAACCTACTGGCAGCTGTGTTTCCCCAAAGGAGAGTTAGCCACCAACTACCAATAGCATCTCTGCTGGACTGGGAACTCCTAAGCCTCTCTTCTATTCATGCTTAAATTCTGATTTGCTTCTTCTTGTCAGGTTGTACAAGTAACCACAGCTGTGGTGACTAAAGTATACAGCAGCCATGTCAAGTTCAGAGGTCAGCATTTCCCAGTTCTCTTCCACATCTGCTTGGTTCTTTTATTCTTCCAGACCCATTCCACAAAATCCCTTAAATATTTAATAAAGGGAGGTTGATATAGATGACCAATCCACAGCAGAGAACTGACTTACTGATACTTACCACTTAGTAGTCTGCATTAACCACTGCCCCTTGCAAGAAGCTTCTCTGACCAAACTTGATAGCACAAAT